ATAGCTGGGTCAGGGTATAGGGTTTTGCTTGGTGGGGGGGTGGGTGTTATAGGAAAGTTATGTAGTCTCGGTCTACCCTGCACCCGGGATGGACGCTCTGAGATCGATCCACCGGCGGTCCATTTGGCGCGTGTAGTGAAGCCCCGCCAAATCAACAGCAGATCGCTCTCCAGTCGACCCCCCGTGGTGTAGATCCCGCAGTAACTCGACCTAAGGTATGTCGACGTGAATAACGTAGCTGGAGTTGCATAGCGTAGGTTGACTTACCGCAGTAGTGTAGACATAGCCGTAAATAGAAATTAGTTTTGCATTTAGTTCTTAAAGCGGGTAGGTTTGTGGTCACTCTTATCTCCTTACAAAGCTCTTTTGATTCAGAAGGGCCAGATTTGGGTATGACTCACATTGACTAATAACACAAGAGAATCAGGCCCTAGATGACACTGAGGGCCAGGTCCTTAGCTGGTGTGAATCAGCTCCTAAGACTCCAATGGAGCTGGGCTGTTTTACATTGGCTGAAGATCTGCCTCTGGTTGCTTTTGTTATTCCTATGAGTTTCCTGGCCTCTCCTGCCACCATAGCAGCTGGCACTAGCTCCTGTGTGACGTCCTTCAGATTAGACCTGGGACTTTGCCTCCAGGTCCGATTGCCCCCAGTGTGACAGTGTGCTGAGAAGGCAGCCTCGCTCAGCGAACAGCACAGGCTGAGGAGAATCACATTGTTCTCTCCGAATAATAGAAGTAGTTCATCCGCTGATGAGACAGCCAGCTGCAGGAAGTGGAGCGGAAAGCTGTCCATTGCTTGAAGGGCAGCGTCCTGGATGTCTTCTGGGCAAGCTTTCCTGCGGGAAGGATGAAAGGGTTCGGAGGCTGCTTGTTACATTTCAGGGCCCATTAAAAGCTTAGCTGGATTCTTTTATTTAATTGGTTATAAATGGCTAAATTGGCAGTGAATTAGCGAGATGGGATTCTGTCTGGGAGCGCCCTGGGATTGCCGAGCCTGCACAAGTCTGCTGTTGTCTCGCCTCGTTAGCTCAGCTAATCCGGGCAGAAGAGATCAGCTCCAAACTTCCTCCTACCCGGGTGCGATCGCCTTGGTGCTCCAGCCTCCCCTGGAATGAAGAACAGCGCACTTGGCACTAGCCATCTGTTCACAGGACTGCTTCCAGTCTGCTTTCCTCCTTCTGGGATGCCTGTTCCTTGCACAGTCTGTTCTGAAGCCTTGGGCTTGGTGCTGGAGGCTGAAGAGTATCAGAGTTTCAAGGGATGTTTTACTCTAATCGGCCCCACCGTCTGCTGCATAGCAGGCCTGGGTTTGGGAGTGGGCTTTGGGTTCCTATTGGGGCTCTGATAAAATGCATTTCAGAGGAGGGAGGGGCCGTCCCATATTCATAGGATTGCTGCAGAATCCCGGGTGTTATGGGAACTGCTTGTCTTGGTCACACGGAAAACGACAGGAGGGTTTCAATCCATGTTTGGGTGATTTGTTTTCTGGGAGACCCCTCCCTGCATTCGCTTTTCCTTCCACTGTCACACGCACGTGCCTTCTACAACCTCCATAACCGTCACTCCACCTCGCACGCATCTGTGTAATGAATGTTGGACCAAATCCTGAAATCGCAGGTGTATACATTGTATCTTAGACCAGCAGTCAGTGCTGCTGCAAGCATCAGCCAGAGAGGGGTCACTCAAAAGCTACATCAGGTATTGGTGGGAGGGGAGATAGACCCTTCCACATGGCCCCACCCTTTGCGACTCAGCACAGGGTATTACGTTGGTGGCATTCCCTGGGAGTTTGGGCTTAGCTGCCACCCTGCCATCTGGGGTGTTACTTTCTATTGCAATGTATGACTATGCAGTGCATGTTTATTTCATTTACAAGAGAGTGATATATTTTAATGATCATTATTTCTGTCTTTACTAATGGATCCTATCTCTGGCCCTGACACATGGAGATGTGTAACCTAGGCCTGTTTTGTGTTTCTGTTTAGTCTGTTGGTTCCGTCTACAGCGGATTGATGCAGGGAGTAGGAGCTGCTGAGAAAGTGTTTGAGTTTATAGATCGCAAGCCGACGATGGTGAACGATGGAACCCTGGCCCCAGACCATGTGGAGGGTAAAGTGGAGTTCAGAAATGTTACTTTTTCCTATGCTACCCGGTCTGCAACACAGGTCCTACAGGTGAGGGTCTTGGCATGTGTTCAGCGTTCCCTTCCTGAATACGCAGCATCATAGATAGCGTTGCCTCCTGGAATAGGTTAAGTGCAGTATTTCTCCAGCAGGTCAATTACTAACTAGTTGCAGACTGCAGCATTATCATTGAATCATAGAAATGGAGGACTAGAGGGGACCTCAAGGGGTCATCTAGTCCAGCCCCCCAAACGGACGCAGGACCTACCCGTCCCTGACTAACTCATTTGTCTAACGCCTCCTTAAAAACCAAATGTTGTAAGCCCCATCCTTGGAGACATTTCAAACCAGACTGGACAAAACACTGGGAAATAGATAGTGGGGAACCATTCCACATGGCGGTGTGGTGAAAAGAGGGCATCTAGGGCCTAACGAGGGATACTTACGTTAATAAAACCCTTGTTTGCTCTTACAACTTAAGTGTCGTCCAGGGTCTTGAGTCACGTTATTGCTGGCGACACCCATTGTAGCGACCACCATTAAATGCTTTTATTCAAGACACAGAAAAAGAAAGGGGGTGGGAAAACAGTTAAAGGCTTTGAAATGCAAAGTGTTAAGGAAGGCTTTCGTTGTAATAATTCCCCTTATTTCCTTTCCCTTACTTGCTCTGTATTAAGATTGTTGTATAGGAGAAGCCCCTGTTTGACAGAGGATATTGACGATGTTATTATCTCTGTCCTTGATGGGGAAGAGAGAAGAGGTTAGTTTTAGGTGGCTTGGAGCTATTGCTGTGGCTGCTGCTGTTGTTGGAGTCCAGTCCTGTTTCCATGAAGACTAAATAAGACACTCACAGACAGACAAAGGGACAGAAAAGAACAGCAAAGATAGAAAATGCAGCTTCTGACTCGGGTGCTGACTTTCACTGGCTGCTGGAGAGACACAGGCCCAGCACACCCACTTCTCCGCCACTCAAGGTCTGGCAAACTTTTATCAGCAGCAGGCTGTTTGAGGCATTGCTACTAGATGCCTTTCAGGTCACAGGCTCGTCATGGTGGTGCAAAAGGTGGAGGTGTCTTGGCCGGTTCAGCCAGACTCTGATTAGACAAAAGGCAAAGGAGAGGATAGGCAAGAGGAAAGATAGCGTGGGAAGGGAGGAAGGACACATGAGGAGTGGGTAAGAACAGGAACCCACGTCTCCCTGCCCCATGTATTGTTCAGGATTCAGCTGAATCTGGTGGCGGTGACGGTGTCCTAGGTTTCCTCTCTGGCCTGGCTTGAGGACCAGGACAGTGCAGGCCCGACGATCCCAGGAGACAGGTGGCAGCCATGCCGGTGAAACTCGCTCCTTCCAGCCCTCCCTTTCCCCCGCTCCCATTGAGTGACCCCCAGAGAAACAGCCGCCAGTTGAAACACATTTTGGGGATTTCAACTATCAACGTTCCCTCCCATTTCTAGACTCTTTCAGCTTATTCTCATGTCAACCTGTGACTTTACCAGGAGCCTTGATCCCTGAACCTAAACCATCCACTTTGTACCAGTCTCTGCATATTCAACTTTGGCCGACTTTCATAAACAATTGTATGTAACAGGCTGAGTTGGACTTTTGTTACTTTGCACAACTTAACATACCGGCCTCTTTGTAACTGGCTGCCAGAGGACTTACTAGATGACTCCTCACTGTCGTCCCGTCATCGTCTCTTCCCCCCACCCACCCCAGGTTTTTCCTATCTTTCATGCCTATGATTTTGCATAGCTGGAAAAGTCCATCTGTGAGCTCACTTACTAGAAAGCCTTTTGTAGCTGTTTAACACTGAGACGGAAGGGATGTTTCTAGGTCACTCGGGAGGCTTGGCAGACGGCGAACCAGGTACTGATCTCAGATGCATGGGATATATGGGTAACGGGTTGGTCTCGGAGAATCAGCTAGATTCCAAGTGTTTATATATATATATATATATATATATATACACGTGGA